GGGTTGGGAAGGGTCCCAACCCAGAATGTCAACGTTTCTGTTCCTCTGATGCTGCCTGACCTGCTGTGTTCCACCTGCCACACACTGTATTGACTCTGACTCCAGCATCTGCAGTTCTTGCTATCTCTGCTACCCTATGGATACCATGTCACCTCAGGATTGGGAGGACGGGGCAGCTGGTGTCCCTTTATCAAAGACTATGAGTGTCTTATTGAAAAATAGGAAGCGGGTGCCCTCTGTCCTGGTCTCCAACCTCCTGCTGCTCTGTGCACATGATCCCCAATGTGAGAAGCCCACATTCTGGCCCCACCCACATCGCTTTTGTTTGTCCTGAATTCTCCACAAACTTGGCACTCTGGGATTCCAGAGGTAGTATACTTCCTTCAAAAGAGCCACAGCCTTTTTTGTGGTACTGTTGTACACAAGAGCAGCCAGCTTCTGATAGGATAGCAGCCCTCACTAGGCGGGATTTCAGCCCTGGGTACCTGATTTCAGGGAAAGACCTGCTGATAGCCTTAGCACTGCCTGATTGGCTTGTGATCTGGTGGGCCTTTCCTGGAAGTGGCAGTGTAGGTCTCTTGCCAGCTCTTGAATCAGCTGGCAAGGCCCCCAACATGTCAAGATTTCATGCCATGCCCCTGGTGGGGATATGAAAAACCTGGGGCCATAAGCAGAAGCATAAGGTAGTGCAAATAAAACTTGTAAGGAATAGCTCCTCCGTTGAGGGGTTGGAATGTGGAAACTGATACGTATAGATACAGCTGATGTCTAAATGCATTTAATGGGAAGCTAGAAAATACTTGAAGCAGAAAAAAGTGGAAGGTTATGCTGATGGTTAAATGAAATAGTTGGGGTGGGGAAGGGGTGCTGTTGGGGTGAGGAATCATGTGGAACATAAACACTGGCACAGAGATAGTAGGAACTGCAGATGCTGGAGAATCTGAGATAACAAGGTGTAGAGCTGGATGAACACAGCAGGCCAAAGCAGCATCAGAGGAGCAGGAAGGCTGACTTTTCGGGCCTAGACCCTTCTTCAGATTTTTTCAGTGCTTTGTTTCCATTCCACAAATTTTATGCAATTCTTAAAAACAAAATCAGTTAAGTTATTTTATATCCTTAAAATCCAATATTTTTATTGCCTCAAAGACTTATTGCATAACATGGTGATACTTGTGCCACACAATTTACGCAATATATATCGTACAAATATAACCAAAACTGGAGGGCATAGGTTTAAGGTGAGAGGGGAGGCATACAAAAGGGTCCAGAGGGGCAATGTTTTCCACACAGAGGGTGGTGAGTGTCTGGAATGGGCTGCCAGAAGTACTGGTGGAGGGGCGTACAATTTTGTCGTTTAAGAACAGGACAGGTATATAGACAGGGTAGCAATGGAGGGATATGGACCAAACACAGGCAAATGGGACTAGACTAATTGTGAAAGTTGGGTGGCATGGACAAGTTGGGCTGAAGGGCCTGATTCCTTGCTGTAAACCTCTATGACTCATACTTACTGATTGTAAATTTAGTTTCTGCTGCATTTTTGTCTATATATATATACACTGTTGTCTCACGGAGACGGGCAACAGACCTTTTTGTTAAAATATATTCTCATGAAAGTACGTGATTACATTAATGCAACTGTTCTCTGCTACCTCCCCAAAGTAAACTTTCTTCATATCGGAGTTAGGACAAGGAGTGTCTGCAAACTATTTCATCACGGTCAGCTAAAAGATTAACTCAATTGTCACCACATCTACAAGACTTCAATTATGAAGAAATGGTCATTGAATAACCTGAACTGGACATATTATTATTATTACATGATTTTCTCACCTTTTCAACCAAATGACATTGAAGTTGGTTCTGGTACCCTCATTGTTAAGCGGTGAATCTTTCACTGGCTGATAGCTGAAAGTGGGAATTAATTGGTGTAAAATAATGACCGTGCACCTGCTGAATAATTTACTGACAGAGGCAGAAAGATAATTAAAACTTTCTCTTTTAATATCCATTTCACAGAGCAATGATATGGCAGGCTACCAGAAAATCCAAAGAATTCAAGTTGATTTCAAACGTCTTCAGTAAAAGGACTGACAAAATGTTTACAAAGTACAAACATTCATGGAAACTAGATGGTAACCTAATTGCCAATTTTTGTTCCTGGCAGGTGTTTGTTTAACTTGCTGTCTCGTGCATGCACAATATGCTGGTGAAATACAGGATGAGGTACTATTAAAGATTTATTGACAATTCTTTTCAAAGTCACAGTTGCATCAATGTCAAAATCATGACTATATTGCAATGAAGTCCAGTGGCTGATTATGAGCAGTCATTTAGTATGAAACACCATAAAATATTGAGAAGTTCCAAACAACAGTGTGGTAAGATACATTAGAGACATTCAAGCGACTCTTGGATAGGCATATGGATGACAGGAAAATGTAATGTATGCAGGGCAGTTTGATCTTAGAGTAGGATAATAGGTCGGCACAACATTGTGGGATGAAGGGCCTGTACAGTGCTGTACTGTTCTATGTTCTATTAAGTTTGACCCATGTAGGTATTCTGGTACAAAATAGAATCTGGTGGAAATATCAGGTTATTGCAAAATGTTATAATATTCTGTGTGCACATGAAGTATTCCACTCTGAGCCAGTTAACAATTAGACAATCACTGAAGTTACAGTTATTACTAATGATTCTGCACTCTCAGCCCTCATATTTTTCTTGAAATCCTGTAAATTTTCTGAAGATCAAAACCTTTGTTGAAGGAATCAAGTCCATTGAAGAACATAATAGTCCAGAGATTACAACGATCAGATAGTCATTGAGGTGGTGTAGATTGAAGTTGGCTGTCGAGACTATGCAAATTTCCAATGCAACCTTCTCTAAAGGAATTGTTTGGGAGATTGAAAATTCTGAACGACAATTCCCATGTAGCTAGAACCCTCCAGAAAATCTCCTTAAATATTGACGGGTATTGAAGGTAGATCTTCTTTAACTCCTGGGTAACCATTAAATTGACCTCCTGACTCACCACTGAAATGCCACTGCACACCCACGTCCCTTGATAATCCCCAGGCGTGATGCGTATATCCTTCTCCCCTTGGACCCAACACACCACATCAGACCAGATTGGAACCTGACTCAAACCAAACACTGAAATGCAATCATGTACAAATATCTGTCCTAGTGTAGCATAGTTATGCGACTTCTACCATGACACACACACACTGTAAGCAGATCTCCTAAACCTCACTTTCATAAAGTTAAATTGAACACACTGCTCTGTCACATAGTTTAAACACCACAGACATGACACATGACCCAAGACCGGTATGCCACCCAACCTCAAACCACACTTTTCACCTCCCCTGACTCAACATCCCCCTTTTCCGTCCCCAATCAGTCTCAAAACCCCTTAAAGCTTCGCACACTGGCCTCCCTCACCTGACTAAAATATCCCCCATGCGATTTGACAATCTGACACCCCTTCTAACTAGACAATCAACTCATTCAAACCCCAACTGCTGAACCCAGCAGCCCTCCATCTGATCTCAACATGCCCTGACCCAATTTGACACAACAATGACCTACCCAAACGCATCTGCTGTGGAACTCATCATTCCTCACCCATCTGACACCACAGCAAACTTGCTCCCTGGTCACCCTAAACCCTCCACCCACCTTCCAACATAAACGCCTCCCTTACCTACGGATCTTTGACACAAGCTTTTAAGGTTTGTGCTTGGAAATATAATCGCTGTTGCTTCAGAGTACAACTCCCTCCCTAACAGCATTGCGGGTATCCCTACACCAAATGGACTGCAATGGTTCAGTAAGGCAGCTCACCATCATCTTCTCAAGGAAAACTAGGGATGAACAATAAATGTGCCCACATCCCAAGAATAAATAAATAATTTGCCAGAAGAAATGGAATTACTGTCACATCTCCTACTGTTATAGATCACATAGTAGCTCCAAAGATGGATGGATAATCACATACTGTCTCAAACACCACTGATGCAGATCCTTGAAACTGAGTTCTGTAGTGGTAAAGTGGCAAAGTTTGTCAAAGACCTTCATACTGAAGCTCTGAATACGGTATTAAATTCAGATAATTGAGGAACAAGGAGGCCATTTCTTGTTTAGGTATATTGTAGCACAGTAGCAACAGTCCCAGAGTTCCATAGCACTGCTCTCTGAGTTTAACCCAAGGGTCACCATGCCTCAGACAAGGGGAAAAGATGTGAAGGTAAGATTGTCATGGTGACCTCAGCTGGTGCAGGAATTAAACCCATGCCATTGGCATCACTCTGCATCTCAAACCAGCCTTCAGTCGGCTGAGCTAGCAATTTTAGAAAAACTTGCACACTTCAGCCTTGGAGATGGATTGATGGGATCAGGATGAGGTAAATAAGATGCTAAGTAAATAAAAAGGTTTAATTCTGAGCTCCTTTTGAATTCGGAATAGAAGTAAAAAGGGACATAATTGCAATTCAGCCAAGTTCATTACTGATATCGTGAATCATTCCCTCCAGAACCTGAAATACGTTCAAGATAATGGTTTTAAAAAACTCAGCTTGCACGTAGTAAATGGTAGCTTAGTAAGAATAGGATTGCAATTTATTACTTACAACAAATTAGATAGGCTATTTTACTTCACTCACCTACACAAATCTTTTTGAGCTTTGTAAAATGCCACAGCCACACATTAACTTGTAGTGAGGTTGTTGACTTGTTCGCCGAGCTGGTTTTTGTTTTCGTTCAGATGTTTCGTCACCATGCTAGGTGACATCATCTGTGGAGCCTCCGATGAAGCGATGTTATTCTACTCCGCTTGGAATTTATACTGTCTGGTTATACTGTGAACATTATCACCATAACAGACCAAACAGTATAAATTCCAAGTGGAGTAGAATAACATTGCTTCATTGGAGGCTCCACTGATAATGTCACCTAGCATGGTGACGAAACGTCTGAACGAAAACAAGCCAGCTTGGCAAGCAAGTCAACAACCTTATCCACAACCTGAGCTACAGATCTTTGCCAATGCATTAAATTAACTTGTAGTTTTGCCATTTTGATGCTGACTTTTTTAATACTAAATTTTAAAATCAATTAAGATACATGAAAATGTTATTCACATGAACAGATTAGATTTTCTGCAGTTTGGTAAATGTCACCTTCTAACAGCCTCAATGAAGACTGCAATCTGTTATTTTATTGCTAAATGTTAATTTGACCACCCCTCAACTTCCCCTGTACATTGTTCACTCTTTAATGTGAGCAAAAATGGATTCCCTTGCTTTTTTTGACGGCTGATATGGGATGGGGTGGAGTTTAACAAACCATCCAAAAGCCTGGATATCCACAAGTTTGTTGAAAAACCTGGGCCAGGGAAAACATTGCTTGACAGCTCTGGCTGTCTGATTTCTGCTTTCAATTGCACAATGCTTATTTCCACAAGATTAAGAGGTTTCAATTGCTTACAGTTTCTGTTATTGATACTTTAAAGCTAAATAGATGAATGATACTTTTATTGGCCTGTAGTAAAATGGCAATTTTGAACATAGCAGTAAATTATTCATGAATGACTTTCTTAAAGTTTTTTTCTCAAATACACTATTGGCATTATGGAGTTCATTGATTCTATGCAGTGTATAGTGGGTCAATAGGCATGGGGTCATGAAAGGCCACAGGGAGATGGGTGCTGTGCTCGGTGATGTGTTTTTCTTGGTGTAGGCAGGTATGTAGGGCCATTTATAGTGGATGGAGGAACATAACCTGGCATGGGGAGAATAAGATATGATTAGGTGATGTTTTGAGAGTCTTAGTCAGGTATGAGGAGCCAGGAGGGTGAGCAGAGGGACATGGCTAAACAGAGTGGGAGGGGGATTGGAATGAGGGTGGGGAGGGAGCAGCACCTGACATAGTGGGAGGGACAGAGAAGATTAAGCATTAGTGCTTCTCCTGCTTTCAAGCACCTTATATGCACCCCTGTCCCTAAACTAAACAATAGTTTCTATTCAGCACTTTTCTCAATACATTTTGGGTTCTATAAAGTAGAATTATGCAGAACTCATTTATTATGTGTTATCATCACGTAGTAACAATGCCTTCTTGTTGACCAATGGTGTTTCTAATTCTGCTTGTGTATGATTTGAAGAATTCATCAACATCCTCAATTTAAAAAAAACATTAAACTTAAAAGCCACAACATAGAAGGAAAACATTAAACATTAGACACATACGATAAAAAATGAAAAAGACAACAGGCACAAGTTACAAGTTTTCTTTAAAAAAGAAACCAATAGTTCTACTGAGGCAATTATTAGTTTACTCACTGCATCTCAGATCTCGATCCCAGATTTAAACTTAAAAAATAGCATCCATTCCGTTTACTCCATAAATTAGCTCCTGAACTCGTGCAACCTTAAGCTAGAGATCCAACTTTCTTTGCAAGACATTCATTATCTTAGTGATTTCGAATTTTTCTGGTGCCCAGTCAGTTGACAGGCTTACAGGTTAAATTGTTCCCTCTCCTTTGCAGCCTCCCCCTTTCCAACCCCAAACACCTTACTGCCTCCTTATTTCTTTCTCCATCTCACATCCTCTTAACACAGGACATTTGCAGCTGCCCCTTTCTCATTTTCTTTTGTAACCTCCACAGCCCCCAGCACTCACAGCCTAATTTCCTTGACCCCATTTTCCTTCGTCCTTTAATTCACCCTGCACTCCTGGCAGAATCCTTCTCTTTTTCCCCACCCAAAATCCCATAGCAGCATTTGGGTACCACTGGCCTGTTGCTCCTCTCAGATTCTGTTCCTTTCTCAAATATCTGTGGCCTTGTTCTGATTTCCAAGTCACCACTTGGAAGAGGGGGCAGGACTGCCTATGCCCAGGCCCCGAAAGGACCTAGTAATTAGTACCTTTACATCCCCATTGCCAGGGCTCTGATAAGAGAAGGGGCTTAATGTGGGCAAGACCCTTTAAAAGTCTGGTGCAACTCTGAAAATTGCAGACGTTTAGGCCATGCTGATTTGTAAAGAGGAGCCAGCTAAGTCAGGAATGTAGGGTGTAGCCTTGTGACCTGAACTAGGTGACACCCTTAAAAGGCACTCTCAAAAATCTGAAACTCTGGGAATAGGGCTGGAAATTTCCGAATCAGGGCTCACCCGTGTTATTAAAGTGCTCACCATGTCATCCCAAATCCCCGAAAATCCAGGCCATGTTCACCAACTTTCCATCCTATCAATGTGGGGTGAATTTAAATAGAAATTCCTGATGTTTTCAGCCTTTTAACTTAAGAAATGAGAGTCAATCTTTGTTTTACAAATTCTTATAAGAATTTTTTTTTAATAGTCAGATTGTACCTTCAGTATAATGACAGCAGTTCTGTCAGCAAGCCATGATTTTGCACCCTACTTTGCAATTGGACCTTTTTAGATTCAAAATATAAAAACCTGAACAACACATCATTTCCATGTGTTAAACTGCCACTTACTACTTTTATTTCTCCAGCATTTTACATTTATAGGAGCATCTGTGTCTCTCCATTTGTGTACCTGCTTTAAGAATATAATGTCAAGTCCAGAGCTGAAGTCACATTTTTTAAAATAAATTTTATGTTAATCATAGCATCACCATAGTGTGGAAAGAGCCTATTTAGTCTATCTGCACCAACCCTCCAAAAGAACATCCCATCCAGACCAGCCTCCTCTTCTTTCCCCATAACCCCAACATTTACCATGGCTAATCTACCTAGTCAGCACATCCTCGGGAACTATGGATAATGTTAGCAGAGCCAATCCACCTAATCTGCACATCTGTGGGAGGAAACCGGAGCACATGGCCGAAATCCACGCAAATATGGGGAGAATGTGCAAAGTCCAAATAGATGTTTGCCTAAGACTGGAGTCTAACCTGGCTCCCTGATGCTGTAAGGCAGCAGTGCTAATTGCAGAGCCACTAATTGCTGCCCCTGTTAATATGGTTTCATTTCCTGTATTTTTGGCTAAGGAGACCTGATCCCTGATTGATTCTGGAATGTTTATGTATTTACATTGAAATGCCTGCGGGTTTAGTAGTGTTGTATGTGCTTAGTTTCCCCAACAATTCAATTTGGAGGTTATGTCTTGTTTTCCCCAGTTAATTCTGAATCTAAAGGACATGGGTTCCTGGATCCCTGATGCAAATGCGTATTTCCTTGTGATGTGAATGTAGATGAAGGAGGAAGGAGCAAATTTACCAAGCGGTAAAGTAGGAAACCTGCCTGTGTTGCCTGAAGAACTGGATGACAGATTTTGATTGGTTGATTTTAATCTCACAACTATCTAAATTTTACAGACTCCACCCTTTAATATATTCCATTCCATTTGGAACTGGTATCATTTCTACATTGCAGTGAAATTTCTTCCATTTTCGAAAATAACAGCAGCTAAGAAAATAATTCATCTTTTCAAATGGGTGAAGAAGAACCAACCAGTTTGTCATTAAATATTTATACTATTTTTAACATTTTTACATTACACACACCAGTTAAAGTTCTATATATCAACAGAACTGTTTTTATACAGAGCTTTGAATGGAATTCTTTTCATTCACAAACAATAACAACAAAGATGACAATATAATTAATCCATGAAATACATCAGGACAAATTTCTTGATAGAATTAGGTTCTTCTTCGAGGCACTGTCTAAACATGCTCGCTGTTTCTGTTCTCTGCACACCTTTTTAGTCATTTAACAGCAACAGGGGATTATCTCTTTATGGTGACTGTTCTACTGCTGCATGCAGTGTGCTGTTATTCTCCTTTCATTGTCAGAAGCTCTCCCTCCATGGTGCAGATAATTCTCTCAGCAAACAAGAATAACAACTTTCTTCAGATTCTAGTATTTAGGTGTGTCTAGTGTACAATACACGAGCGTCTAGAAACTGAAGCCAAATCTTCAGATCTAATAAAATTATCTTCTTCCAGTTTTGACATATTAAAAACAACTTTCCATAATCTAAAAGCATGTCTTGAAAGTGCATTTTCTGGAATACAATCTCTCTCCAATGATAAATTGTGAACATAATTATCATAAATAATTTATAAATTCAATATAATAGCAGTCAATCTGTCTAAGGCAGCTCTTGTGCTACCTTGAGAGGGCACAATGCATAGTCTAGCCCTACCTGGAATAATGCATTTTTTTTTGGGTGTAGGGGAATAGTGGATGGGTCAGTGTTACATTTCAGCCTGGCCTTTGACTTTTATCCCTGATGTGTAAGGAGATTCCTGGGGTCTACAAATGCATTCTTGCTGCTGCTCCAAACAATCTAATGGGTCCGGGACAGGGAGGCCTGACAGAATCATTAATGATTTGTTCCAGATTGTGAATGTGGGGCACACAGGTAGAGCAAAAGAAATGTCAAATGTGTGCAGATGATGCACGTTCATGGCATCGTAGAATGACAGCGTGTTACCATCGTAGTCGAGAAGGACACCAAGTCTTCGCAGCTGATGGCTAGCATCCACTGACATCTCTTTGCCACTGTGTCTGACAGCAAATGTGTTATTGCAGCGAGAGAATACCCAGGATGATGAATTCTTTCCATTCCACTCATTCTTTGGGGCTGATTTATATGAAATGCCAATGGAATACCTGAAGAATAGAAACAAAATTAAAATTTGTGTTGCATTCCTAATAATTGATCATCAAATTGAAATAGTTTAACCTTTTTAATCTTGAGGAATTGTGGAAGAATTGATTAGAAAGTTTAAAGAGGCCATCTTACATTGGAACATAAAATTAGTAACTTAGAATCTTTAGTCGGTTGAAATCACACTGTCTTATCAGCAACAGGTCATTTGTTCTATGACATTTCTTTCACTGTTACGTAAATGAAGTTTAATAGAATTGAAATTTCCATACTAGCTAAAACAGTCATAGAGTCGCACAGCATGGAAACAGACTCTTCAGTCCAAATTGTCGCGCTGACCAGACATCTCAATCTGACTTAGTCCCATTTTCCAGCATTTGGCCCTTATCTCCACCCATCCAGATGCCTTCTAAATGTTGCAATTGTACCCACTTCCACCACTTCCTTTAGCAGCTCATTCAATACATGCAACATCCTCTGCATGAAAACGTTACCCTTTGGGTCCTTTTAAAATCTTTTCCCTCTCAATTTAAAGCTATGCCCTCCAGATTTTGGACTCCCCCACCCTAGGAACAATACAATTCATTGTATCTCAGTACATGTGACAATATTAAATTAAACCAAATAGCCCTCATAATTCCATTAATGATGGTAAACTGTAAATTTCTTCATTATTGTATAATTGTTTTAACCTGTTTAAATATTTCTTAAGATTGTCAGATGGAGAAAATAAATCAAAAGGAAGTTCGTTAATGGCTTAATGGATCAGTGCATCGCATAAAGGCAACAACAATATACAGAGCTAACTAAGCCCATTCAGTTTGCAAGCCCACTGGAACTGGCCATTTTGGGCAAGCTTAATTGCTCATAGAATAGCTTTTGATGAAAGTTTGCAGATGAGCACCAGGTCTTGCTTGGGTGCTGACACTCATTGTTCATGTAACATGACGAACTGCTATCTGGTTAAGATCATGGAGAGATGCTTAAGCCACTATAGTATGAGTCACTTCCTTAAAAGAAACAGCAAAGGAGTGAGCGCTGGGAGGTAAGTTTATCAAAAATTTCAAGTTACATTCTTTAAAACTCTAACTCTGGTTTATAAAACAGACACGGCTAGTAATGTTTGCTGTTATTCATTTAAAACTGTGTACCATGTGCATCCACCAAGTAGAACCTCCCAGTAATGGCAGCCACTGTCGATGTATACATTCCCCAGTGCTCCATAGCTCCCTTGGCTGCTAAACCGCTCAGGTGTATGGCTCTTCTTCGTAGAATTCTCATCCCGTTCCATAGCCAGGCCATCATTGGAAAGCTTTAACTTCTTGTGAGCTGTTTTGGGATCTAGTTTGAATGGCTGGCCTGGAAAATACAGAGAACAAAAATGCAAATTTAAACAAATAAACAAACAAATCAACAAACATAGTCCCCATGAATGCTACATTTCCTCTCAGCTATCATTACCTTGATTTTGACTGATATTTATAATTTATTTATAATCTATTGATATGATTTAAAGATCAGCTCTAATGATAGTTATATCACTTTAACAACTGTGAAGTAGTAGGATATTTCAAACCAACCTTTATTTACAATAGCAACTGGATTTCCAAACATTTTTAGTTAAATAAGACTAAAGAAAGAGATTGAATTCCTATGTTATTCATTTTCTAATTACTTTTCATCAATAACTCATATTCCTCAAGAACACGGGAACAGGAATAAATCAGTTGTGCCAATCTGAGATAATGCTGGTCTGCCTCTGACCTAATCAACTCATGTTAGTTACATATCCTTTGATAAGTTTGATGAACAAAAATATACTTATTTCAGTATCGAAATTAACAATTGATTTAATAATCTCTGGGAAGTGTATGGAGGTATGGAGTCTTGGTCGCGAACTGAAAACCAGGATGGACCCGTGTTGCTACCTTTCAAGAATTACAACACAATAAGCCGGCATTCTATGATCCAGACAATGGGAATGGGAAATCTTGGCTGTAAGAGCTGTTGGCCAATCAGAGGTCAGCATCCTTTGCTCAGCAGTGTCACTGGGGAGGCCATGACAGGAAGTAGATCCAATGGAGGCCTAGATCATTGAATGACCCAGGTCAGAGGTAAATGATGGACAGGAGGAGTTTAATGGGGTGGGGACAGTGTGGAATATGGGTGTTCACAAAGTGAAGCTGGTGCTCTCAGTGAGTTCTCCCACCACCTTCCTACCTTTTCTGAATTCTGGGTTCCTTCATCAGACACTGAGTGTCTCTGAACAACAGACACATTCTGAGAGATCACAGAATCACTTTTTTTTAAAAAAATGTTTGCTTGTTGTGCTTCCTGTGTGGTGAAAAATACATCTACTACTGGTTTAATACCAATGGTGGGATGGAGAGGCCACAGAAAGTTAATAGTGCAAAGTACATAAATCATGAATGGGAAATGAGAAATAATGGAAAATTGCATTTGTTCCTGTAAGTCATTTTTGTCCCCGTAATACTCTATGCACTGTTGTAAAGATGATTTATTTGGGCCAAACACCCTCGTCTGTCCTCATGTTACTCGATACCATGAGACTGCACAGGGTCTGGTGTCAATGTTGAGAACTCCCGGTGCGACTCCTTCCTGACTGTATACGTGGTTTTACAACCTCTGGTAAGTCTGTCCTGCTGCAGGATGGCTGGTCATGGACGTGTAGTGGTTAGTTAATTAGATATTCAGGGGTGAGGCACCCAGACAATCATGCAGCAAGGGCAGGCAGGAAGTCAATGATTCACCCTAACCCCAGTGAATCCAAAGTCTAAATGGCAAATTTAAAGGGTACCCATTTCTATACACAGCTTCCACTACAATTTCTTTCCTACTTAATTCTATCTACATAGTCTCCACTGCCTGCTTACCTCATTATCATTGAAATGATAACCTCCTTTTCATCAGTGAAATGATTGTATCCCTAATTACCAAGGCTGCTACTCCTCCTCCTCTGCCAGTTTCCTCATCTTTCCTGTAGACCTTAACAAGATTTGTTCCTGTTCAGTTCCTCCTCACAGCCATGTATTAGTTATGACCACCATGCCATACCCTCCAAATTGCATTTGTGCCTGTAATTCATTGAATTTATTCCTACTACTCCATGCCCTGTTGTAAAGATGATTTACTTGGGACAAACACCCCTGACTGTCCTTCTGCTCTGTTGACTTAGTCTTACATTTCTTTGTTCCCTCGTGATTTAAATTCTTTACCCTATTAATTTGGTATGTACCCGAGTGGAAAAAGTAAATTGCTGTTTGTTATCTAGCTCTTGCTGTTTCATTCTTCTATTATTTATACTATTTAATACTATCCAAACTCTCTCTTATCATGTAATATTTCTTTTGTATTGTAGATGAAATTGGGTTTGGGGATGGGGGGTGGTTTTGGGGAAGGCTGGGTAAGACCAAAAGAAGGTCTTAAGAATTATTTTTCACTAAGTCAACATTATTATAATTAATTTAGTCTGATGATAAACTGGTTTGTTCTTGAAAATAGATGTAATTTGATTTAATCAAAATTAAGACAACGATAAACTGTGATAGATTTACAGTTATAGAGTTGTAGAGTCATAGGGATGTACAACATGGAAACAGACCCTTCGGTCCAACTCGTCTATGCTGACCAGATATCCTAGATAAATCATTTGCCAGCATTTGGCCCAAATACCTCTAAACCCTTCCTACTCATATAACCATCCAGATGCTTTTAAAATGTTGTAATTGTACCCACCAGCCTCCACCACTTGCTCCTCTGGCAGCTCATTCCATACACACACCACCGTCATGAAAAAGTTGCCCCTTAGATCCCTTTTAAATCTTTCCCCTCTCACCTTAAACCTATGCCCTCTAGTTTTTAACTCCCCACCGCGGGGAATAAAACCTTGTCTATTTACTGTACATATGCCCCTCATGACTTTATAAACCTCTATAAGGTCACCCTTCATCCTTCGATGCTGTAGGGAAAATAGGCCCAGCCTATTCAGCCTCTCCCTATAGCTTAAACCCTTCAACCCTGGCAACATCCTTGTAAATCCTTTCTGAACCCTTTTAAGTTTCACAACATTCTTCCTTTATCACGGAGACCAGACTTGCACACAGTATTCCAAAAGCAGCCTAACCAATGTCCTGTGCAGTCGCAACATGACCTCCAACTCCTATACTCAATGCGTTGTCCAATAAAGGCAGCATACCAAATGCCTTCTTGACTATCCTATCTCCATGCGATTCCGCTTTCAAAGAACTATGAACCTGCACTCCAAGGTTTCTTTGTTCAGCAACATTCCCCAGGACCTTACCACTAGGTGTATATGTCCTGCCCTGATTTGCCTTTCCAAAATACAACACCTCACATTTATCTAATTAACTCCACCTGCTACTCCTGGGCCCATTGGCCATCTGATCAAGATCCCATTGTACTCAGAGGTAAACTTCTTCGCTGTCCACTACACCATCGATTTTGGTGTCATCTGCAAGCTTACTAACCATAACTATGTTCACATTCAAATCATGCAGATAAACGAAGAAAAGTAGTGGACCCAGCACCGATCCTTGTGGCACACCACTGGTCACAGGCCTCTAGTCTGAAAAGCAACCCTCCACAACCACCTTCTGTCTTGAACCTTTGAGCCAGTTCTGTATCCAAATGGTAGTTCTCCCTGTATTCCATGTGATCTAACCTTGCTAACCAGTCTACCATGAGGAAGCTTGTTGAACGTCTTACTGAAGTCTACATACATCACGTCCACAGCTCTGCCCACATCAATCCTCTTTGTTATTTCTTCAAAAAAACTTCATTAAGTTAGTGAGACATGAGTTCCTACACACAAAGTCATATTGACTATCCCTAATCAGTCCCTGCCTTTCCAAATACATGTAAATCCTGTCCATCAGGATTCCCTCCAACAACTTGCCCACCACCGATGTCGGGCTCACTGGTCTGCAGTTCCCTCGCTATTCCTTACCAGCTTTCTTAAATAGTCTTTAGGCACGTCACCTGTGACTATCGATGATACAAATATCTCAGCGAGGAGCCCAGCAATCACTTCCTTAGCTTCCCACAGAGTTCTAGAGTACACCTGATCATGTCCCAGGGATTTATCCACCGTCATGCATTTTAAGATGTCCAGCACCTCCTTCTCTTTAATATGGACATTTTTCAGGATGTTGCTATCTATTTCTTCATGTCCTATATCATCCATATCCTTGGTGTTTTTAAATTTAATGGTCAAGTATCTCATGATGAGTTTTTCTTACAATGCCAAGTCTAATACAATAAAAAAGAGGAACAATGTCCTGACATATTTAATGGCCTGAGGAACATACCCGTTATCCCCAAATGGCTTTTCTGCAAAAGTATTTCATCCAGAGCAGGGCTATTCTCCCATCTTGTCCCATAGCCCTGAATGTTACTCCTTTCCACATAAAAGCCTAATTCCCTTTTAAATTCTCTTACAATTAAACTGGCCTTCACCACATTCCACCCAGTAAGGTCTCAAATATTGCAAAGAAATACGTAACCAGGTAATCTGTTTACAGTAACAAAAACAAAGTTGCTGGAAAAGCTCAGCAGGTCTGGCAGCATCTTTGGAGGCAAAAACAGAGTTAACGTTTCGGGTCCAGTGACCTGAATTCTGAGGAATGTTTCTCAGGAATGTTCCTGATTTACAGCATCCACAATTCTTTTGGTTTTTAATCTGTTTAGAGTATCTTGTTGAGTGACAGGTTTTGAGCCAGATGTCATGGGAATACCCATAATCCCTTGAACCATCTTCAAGTGCTGCCAAGGGATCTTTCACATCTATTGGAGAGAGCAGTCTGTTTATTTGATCCATCTGCAAATGGCACTTCCGCCAGTATAATACACCTTCAGCATTTCAGTGACTACCTCCAGAACCATGGGTCAACCTGGCATGAGAATCTTCTAGTCCAAGCAACCTTCTTTCCTTTGTTACCCCAAGTGTCAAGTGTCACCAGGTAATTTGAATACAAAGAGCATGACAGCTGAAACAGTTCCAAATTTACACCAGTGACTGCCTTTCAAAAGTGCTACATTGGCTGGGAAGCAATTTGTGATTTTTTTTCCGCTCATGGCACGAATAAAGATGCAAGTTGTTTTGCAGGTGCCCTTAAGTTTGAGATTCATTGAACGCAGAACTCTAGCTTCTCACCATCTCAATTTAGTGGACATGGATTCAAATTATAGCACCCTGACTGAAATCATTTTTAATTCAGCATTGATCAGGGATTAAAATTTACACCTTCCTGAACTCAGAACCATTTATTTTCTATATGGAGTTACTGAATGTTTATACAGGCAGTTAAACTTCTTTAACATCCAAATGGTTATTAGCACTTTCCAATGTATTAGTTAGTTACACACAAATCAATGTATCCAAGGTTTGATCCTTATTTTGAGCTGTAATATTTAGTTTCAGCTGTAGCAAAAATTGAGATGCAGAAATTGGCCTCCATGACCTTGACTAAAGAGGAATAAACCCTGATGCCTATTTCTACTACATACTAAGTGGCTGTCTTAGGAATGTGTGACATTTGGCAATCAGCTAAGTACAGAATTGGTTTAGATTACAACATCTCAAGATCGAACAGCTGGCAAATACTTGCATATAAAGAATAATGAGTCACCATTAACTTCTTCAAAAAAGAGAGGAAGATGGAAACAAAAAGATTTTCCAATCTCTTTCTATTTAAAAAAAAATTGCTTTAAGCAACAAGGAAGACTAGTCATTATCTACACATGGTTCAAAAGTGTTTCAGTGTAATCATTTAATCTGGACGCATAAATTCATTTCCCGCACGCTGTCGGATTTCACCCATTTTTGCCTTATGGATGAAAGGTCTTTTTCTGCGCTGTACTTTTTTGTACACTGAAATTTGACGCAAATTGTAAACACTAATGCAGCAGTTCCTGAATAAAGTAATCAAAGGCATCATTAAATTCACTGTGAGAAGGAGACTTTTCAAATGGAAATAGACAAACATAACAGTTTACTTTTCTTTGAATCTTGTTATACAAGGTCCTGATGAGAAACATTTGCTGAGAGTTTTCATTTTCTTCTAGCTGCACATGGAATAGTCTATTAATATAAAATCCCTTTGTGTGCAACTGTAATGCAATAAATCTGTTAATTGCATTTAAACAGCACACAAAGGAATGTAACACAAACATGGTAACCATTGCACTGCAAGAGCAAATTAAATGTATTTTGATTATTATATTACCACAACACATTCCAATAAGAGTAGACATGGAACTAAATGATAACAAGTAAGCCTTGCAAAGTGGCTTTTGCAAGGCCCTGGAGGCTAATTCCAGTTCTAATCCTCGCTCAATTATCAGCTAGCAGAAATTACGAAATAGACAAGTGGAGGAGAAACAAAATATATTTTTCTCCTCTAACCAAGGATTTCTTAGTGCTAAATTTACGATGTCTCCTGCGCATCTAGCTGGGATTAGTATGCTGACATTGAAATAAAAATGTTTTAGTTTTGTGCTGTCTTTATCCATTTTTTCAAAGCCTAACTATTACTTAAAAGTAACCAAATGAGAGACATCAATCCAAGATGTCTTATAACCAAACAACTGTATGAAATCAGACTTAGAGTTACTAATTTGTTAACTACCATCATGAAGTTTATTAATCGTCAGTACATGATTTCCATCTTGTTAATTAACAGTGCAATCTTGAGCAAACAACATGAGAAAGCAATAAAAAAGAACAACTTACTGTTAGTTTTCAATCTGGTTGGTTCACTGATGCGACTGCCAGCCTGGTTAATTGCCTTCACAATAAAGATATATCTGGTCCCAGCCTGAAGTCCATGCACAGTGTAATGGTTTTGCTTAATGTTGGGGACAATCATCCAACTGTCAATGGAATTGTACAAACCTGTAATGAAAAGAGTTATGGCTAAATATAGTGACATGCACAAAAAAAAATTATTGGGTGGCTGAGCTGTTTTTGAAAGAAACTAAAATGAGAGACTTGCATAAAAATTTGAATTTACCTGTTGCCTGTAAACTATGACTGTGGCCAAAGAAGACCTTCAATCGTTGATGCAATGATAGGAGCTTTTGGAATTGCATTCAAACGATCCTGGTGATGGAATGATGGAAGATTTGACCAAAAATTTGATTGTTGCCAAGTTCAGAACAGAAACTTGGCAGATCCAAGTTCCTCCCCAAATTCTGATTACCATTTTTGCTCAGCTACCCAACTTCTGAGTTCCCGTTGGAAATTTGTGATAAGATTATTACGTGAGTTAATATATACGGTGTTGCTCACAAAATGTTGGAACACTTGTGACATACTGTTTTATAAGGACACAAATGTTATGCCATGTAATGTACAACTAATTATTCAGAACATAATTGAAGAGGTGTCCTTACAAATGCACCAACTTGGGCTGTTGCTAAACAAATACTGGTTGAATAAATTTGGTATTTAATTTGTATTCAGGCTGCAGATCAGAAACATGTACTTGTTTGTTTAACTGAAATAGTAAAGCTAATTCTGACTTTGGATATTCTGAGCTGGATTTCATCCTCAAGGTGGGCGGTGAGAGTCGGGAAAATTCCTGGAACAGCCTACCCTACTTGGGAGGAAGGGCTAGGAAGGACAGGATCTTCACAGCGTGGATGCATGAGGGCTGTAAACGGGCCAACCCAAGAAAGAATTCAAAAGGCTGCCAGAGGGACTGTCAGGTTTGAAGGAAAGCTGTTTAAAGAGGCCCCCTTCATGCTGTGAATCTTCATCATAGCTATCATGAGAAAGTTCAACCCTGCAGCCCTCACCCGGCCACCATGTTATTTTTGAAATATTTCTCTCATGTGCAGAGTATTAAACATAGATAAATGGTGCATAATCTTAATCATCCAGCTTAATATAATGGTTCAAGATTGCAATCTCTACACAAGACTAGGGGTGTGGCAGAGCAGTGAGCACAGTGTCAAAGTAGGATTTAACGTCATGTTCGCAGCAAGTGGCAAGCCAAGTGCTGCGAGGGCAGCAGGGTAGTAGGGTGGCACGCAAAACTCACAGCAAGGCAGTGAGCTGAGCAGCACAATAGACCAGGCACTAGAATGATAAGCCCTAGTGGAACAATGAATGGGCCTGTAAGCACAACAATGACATCAGTTACACCATGTATGTGCATATTGGCAAAGTAGGTGCCAACGTCCTGTTCCAGGTGCACATCAATGATGTCAGTGCCACCAACTTTCTGTACTTTCTGCAGTGGCAGGAGCTCCAGTTTAAAGAACATCAGCGAGTGCCATTTATATCACAGTACAGAGGATGACATCACAGACAGGCTTTCCGGTCATTATGTTACATTTTTCACTGCATTTTGATGTCTTTTCCATTGGAAAACCACTAATGTATGAAAATATACACAAGACTGATCAATACAAGGATGAACTTACCTTTACAGGTCAGATTCCAATGATGAATCACTGTATTAAAATCTGCATTATTATACAGCACCTAAAGTGATATTTTAAGGTGAACAAACATTTTACGTTTACTTTTCAAAATGCTTCTGAATCCTCCTCAGGCTTTCCAATTTTTTCACGTATTCTCACAGGAAGAATACTTTCAATGCACTCCCATAAACCCACACCAACAGATAAAAATGGTGTGTTGGACAGAATCTGATTTTGTGCTGCATTTTTGCACCAAAACATGCTGCCATATCCAGACATATGTATCCAAGAATAATTAACACCCTGTCTGTCCGTCTTTGGGCTAGGTCTCCATCATAGCCCACGTCATCATGTTTCCAAATGGCTATCTGCACCTGCGACAGATTTATAATTTATCCCACTCTGCCTTTTCTCATACATGCGCAATAACCCTAATTTACACTTTATGACTTCTCCCCTTATTCTGAACCCACTCTAATAACTTAATTTCTTACTGTAGCTCTCACTCTCTCTCTCTCTCTCTCTTTCTCCCCCCCACCCAGCCCCCCAGTATTCTGGGCAGTTTGGGATTCCCCTTGGATATTATCTCCTGGTTTTCACACCCCTGCCAAGTTCATTTAAATCTCCCCCAATTGTGAGTTGTCCTGTAAGGAAATTGGTTCCTGCTCAATTTACAGCTCTCCTGAATGTCTCCAGAATCTAAATCCTTCACTCTTGCATTATTTTTTCAGCTAACATTCATCTGCTTCATCTTAATTCTAAATTCATTTGTATCAGGAGTAACTGGAGATTACTACTTTTGAGCTCTTGCCTGCTAATTTGCTAACCAGCTCCCTAAATTCTCATTGGAGGTCCATATTCATCTTTATGTAAAAAAAAATTCTGAAGAAAGGTCACTGGACCTGTTACACTAACTCTGATTTCTCTCCATAGATGCAGCCACGCCTGCTGAACTTTTCTAGCAATTTCTGGTTTTGTTTCAAATGTGGACCAAATCAGCTGACTGTTTATCGACTGCCATTCCTCATCTTATTAGACAGTAAACCTTGCTAATAATAAACTTTACTATTTAAAAGAAAGAGAAATACTCAGTACCAACTCACTCCCCTTCTACTGACACCACTTAAAAATCATGGGAAAATGAATGCTTTACCTAACCCTTTTGTTAATTTTCCAGCCACATAGACTAAACTGCTAACTTGAGAAAGGGAAACACAGCATGAATAGTCATGAGCCAGTTAACTCTCAGCCTTGGCGTAATGTCACAGACTGATTTTTCTTTTACATTTTTTTTTCAGTGGCCGTGTCTGCTTCAACTCTTGATTCTCTTCAAGTGATAAGTTCTGAGCCTGAGCCTCAATTTATCTTCACCCCATGCTCCTGATTTCTTTCAGATCTGCTCCAGATTCAATTCTTTCCTAAGCTCATTCTTGTTTGTATGTCTGTTTTATTTGTTTCAATTAAGTTATTTTAGCTGTGAAGATTCAGCTAGTAATCTAAAATTTAGATTAGACATTTGTCAACAGCCAATATTTTTTAAAAATGACACAAAAACATGTTCATTTTTTATATATATATTACACACACATAATTGTATACATAGTCTTCATTATATGTCTTTCCGCTTCTGCTTTTTATTTGGAATCGTGTCCTTGCATAATCCCCTTATTTTGGATCTTCATTACCATCCTCAGTGACTGCAATGTTGTAGAGTGTGCACCATCTGGAAAGTCATGTTTTATGTGCCTTTTTATTATATTATTATAATGTCATTAGAAGATGAAGCTTTCGAGTTCCTGCTGGGAAAGCTTCCAGAGCTTCTTTAGTCAAGCTGCTGTTGCATTTTTGGCTAATAATAATTTCTCTTGTGGTCAGGTAGGGAGGCTTGGGAATATATAGGGTCAAAGTGAATGAATCAGCTCTGTACCAAAGATCAAAAAGTATAATTACGCGGTTTATGTTTTATACATCTTGATCACTTCTTTCATCAAAAAAAACTATCTAATTCACACTTACAAAGTTACTCTTCATTGATTCCAGGTTCCGACTGAAATCAGTAATAAGGTTTTAGGGATATTTGGGGAATTCTGAATCAGCTGGATCTCAGAATGTGGAATGCTGGCCCAGAATAAGGTGGAAAGATCCAAAACAAAAACATCGGTACATCTTAAAAATACAGGATTTAAAAAGGCACATGGAACTTTTTGTCGAAAGTATTCCTTCTAGTTTTAGTTTTTCATCCTAGAAGGTTCAATGAATAGTTACTTATTCAGACCAGTTAGTGTTGTATAATAGGATTCATGGAGTAACACGATGAAATGAAAGACATTCACCAAGCACACTGGCTGGCATTCTGAGATAAGGTACAGGTTGTTAAGTATGTGCACAGTATGAAGAGAGGGATTGTTTTAAGCTGACAGCATTTCAACCCATGGGACAGCTTGTTACTGCTTCACAAGAAACTCAGCCTTTTGCACTTGAAGTGAGAGCTGTCGCTATCCATCAATCAGGTCTTTTGGAGGACTGGACAAGAACTTGTCAGAATCAATCGGATGTTATTTTCTTTCACTATTAATTATAACAAACTAGAGTTAGAAGACTTTCTAAATGAATTGAAGCAATTTGAGAGCTATCATAATAGTTGCATTAAGTTAGTGCTTATCCATTACCTCTGGAGTCCCCTAACCATCTGTGCTGGACCCCACTGGTGAAGACTGTGATGTTGAGGGAGGCCTGATCTTCCTGTCCCAGCAGCTGGAAATGAAAGTGGGCAGGTCTTTTATGGGGAGTTCCCACTCCCATTCCCACCAGCATTTAGTTAAAGAGTATGGAAAAGGAGCAGTTTGCAAGCCCACACTTGCATTCTTGCGCCGCAGAAGCAGGCATTTTAGAGTCATTGAAACATTCATGGAGTCAGTCACCAGCTTCAGTATAATGTATGTTACGGAGGGTGGTCTTTCATCTTGTAGTCACTGGCAGTCATCCCACGCTTTCCAAAACTAAAACAATTATTGTTAACAGGGAAAGCATTGCACAAGAGGCTCCAAATCCTTGTCCCAGTTTATTTATTGGGGGATGAAGATCAGAAAAGAATGTTGAAGACTTGTTTTTCCAGGTCTCCCTCCCTCCCTCCCTCAGTAGCCCAGAGCATCTCCTCAGAGGTAAAACTGCATTTTCACCACAAGAAGATATAGGCCCGATATATTAATACAAAGAAAGTTAATAATGCTATTCCCTACTTCCACCATTCTTGTTTATTGCATAGAGTGATGTTTCTTGAAAGTTCTGCACAGCCAATTTTGTATTAACATTATGATAAATCTGTGCTGGACCCTCCCTTGGCTGAAGACAGTGGGGAAATTTGGAGCCATCAGCTTTAAATGTATTGGGAGCATGGCATTGAGCTATTTTCCAGTTTTCTAATTACTAAACTCCACCAGTAGCCAGAAGGTCCCGGTCACAGTG